GAGACACAAGTGTAGTAAATAGTGTAGTTAACCCAACACCTTGTTTCTTGTCAAGTCTAGGACACAAGTGTAGTAAATAGTGTAGTTAACCCAACACCTTGTTTCTTGTCAAGTCTAGGACACAAGTGTAGTAAATAGTGTAGTTAACCCAACACCTTGTTTCTTGTCAAGTCTAGGACACAAGTGTAGTAAATATTGTAGTTAACCCAACACCTTGTTTCTTGTCAAGTCTATGACACAAGTGTAGTAAATAGTGTAGTTAACCCAACACCTTGTTACTTGTCAAGTCTAGGACACAAGTATAGTAAATATTGTAGCTAATCCAACACCTTGTTTCTTGTCAAGTCTGAGACACAAATGTAGTAAATATTGTAGCTAACCCAACACCTTGTTACTTGTCAAGTCTAGGACACAAGTATAGTAAATATTGTAGCTAATCCAACACCTTATTTCTTGTCAAGTCTAGGACACAAGTGTAGTAAATATTGTAGCTAATCCAACACCTTGTTACTTGTCAAGTCTGAGACACAAGTGTAGTAAATATTGTAGCTAATCCAACACCTTGTTTCTTGTCAAGTCTAGGACACAAGTGTAGTAAATAGTGTAGTTAACCCAACAGCGTTTTTTGTCGATTCTATGACACAAGTATACAAAATATTGTAGTTTTTTGGCGAGTCTGTGACAGAAGTATACAAAATTGTGTAGTTAACCCAACACCATTTTTTTTGGCAAGTCTATGACACAAGTATACAAAATAGTGTAGTTAACCCAACAGTTTTTTCAGTCCAGTCTACAAAATGCACCCCCAAAGAATGTTCTAGTTAAAACAGCTCTTGTTTTTAATCAAGTTTAGAACATCGAACACAACAAAAAAGAAATAATCGAGTTAAACAAACATTGTTTCTGGTCAAGTCTTAGCCACAGGGCAGCAAATAAATGATTGAAAACTAGAATAAAAGTCTTGTACAATAAATATAAATTGATATAATGCAACCAATAAACTTTTATTGCAAATGCACATGTTTTACAAACGTCCCAGATGACCTGTACAAATTTCACACTGCCTCCCAAAATATTTATTTATTTATTTTTTTATGGGAAAATAACAATATATCCTTCCACACAACTTGGGAAGATGCTTAAGGAAATAAATTATTTCTTTGGATTACATTATTCTTCTAAAGATCTTTCACCTGCCAATTTTAAATCGAGATACCACCACTGACTCACCTGCAGTTGAAATCAACATACCTTTACCGACATTGCTCAAAGTCCACCAGTATATTTAATTGGGCACTAAAATATCCTTTGCCACATTTAGAAATTATAACAAATATCAACCAATTAATAATAATAATTTGTGGCAAATCTGTAATTTCTGATTTTATTCAATTCAGTTCAAGTTGAATTGATAATAATTGCGGTTGAAACATGTGCATTTTAGCCTCAGGGTGTTATAGAACGTGCACTTGCCTAAATGCACAGCTGTTGATGAAGAAAACAAAACAAAACTTATCAATGGTGTTAGACACAGTTCTATCAAAAATCTGATGTAAAATGCACCTCCATCTACTTTGAATGCAAGAGAAAAAGGTGTTAAGGTCATCCATTAAGGTGATGCCACTTTTTCAGAAGGAAAACATTCAGTCCCATTCTCTTGTGGAGCAGCCACCTGGAATAAAAGAACATTTCTTGAACTATGGTAAGAATATGTACAAAAAATTATACAACCTTGCTAAGAGGAAATAATAGCTTATTTAGAAAGTATCAGGTGAAAACTTTGAAACTTTTTTTTGTCCAGAAATGGTTTCCTTCTAAAAAAAAATGCACAAACATTTTGAAAACTTAAATTTCTTTTTTTTTTTCAATTTTTAATTAAAGGAATTTGTCTTTAGCAGAATTACAATACATTAATTATTTGTTCAATTTTAATTAAGTTTACTATTATTTATTCAAGTTTTTTTTTAATCTACAGTCAAACAGCCATCTATGGGAGAATCCTATTAATTATCCTGTTTTAGTTGAAAAGGCTTAAGAGAAAACTTAGTGTCTGGAATTTAAATTGAAACCATGTGAAAGAAATACACAATTTCTGTTTTTAATATTTATTGTACATGATGGCTAAAAGGTACAAGATGCTTTCCTGATTGGTCTGTGTCTAGTTTGTGGTCACTTTCAACTAATTTTAGCATTTACTTATTTCTTTTGCATGTGTGTATGTTTTGACAAATAAAACTGGTACAATTTGATTTAGTATTTCTATCATTTTGTAAGTTTTAATTAATAAAATTGGTACAATTTGGTTTAGTATTTCTATCATTTTGTAAGTTTTATTAATAAAATTACTACAATTTGATTTAGTATTTATCATTTTATAAGTTTTATTAATAAAATTACTACAATTTGATTTAGTATTTATCATTTTATAAGTTTTATTAATAAAATTACTACAATTTGATTTAGTATTTATCATGTTGTAAGTTTTATTAATAAAATTACTACAATTTGATTTAGTATTTATCATTTTGTAAGTTTATTAATAAAATTACTACAATTTGATTTAGTATTTATCATTTTGTAAGTTTATTAATAAAATTACTACAATTTGATTTAGTATTTATCATGTTGTAAGTTTATTAATAAAATTACTACAATTTGATTTAGTATTTATCATTTTGTAAGTTTAATAAAATTACTACAATTTGATTTAGTATTTATCATTTTGTAAGTTTTATTAATAAAATTACTACAATTTCATTTAGTATTTCTCTCAAGTTTTGGATTGTGATTAAAACATTCCTACTATTTGAATTATTATTACTGTTGTTCTTAAGTTGTGATTAACAAAATTTTCTTGAGAGAGTTTTAAAAATACTGCCTTAAATTTTAGAATTTCAATTTCTTATTGTTGATCTGAAAATTCCAGTTTATTTATC